AATCTTAAAAAAAAAAAATTATTTTAAAAATAAAATTCTTCCATGCAGCTTGCTTTCAGGCAAGGATTGAGTGCTTAGTCCCTTAGCAATTACGTTTCTTACTATAAATTAATATACTTAGAATACATAATGTATTCACGCTCTTATTATAATTTGTCTCCCAAGTAACTTGTCTCCTAGGAAAGAAAACTTGCCAGCTGAAGAATACAGGTGCTCATTCCCCTCACTCTGCACTGGAAATTAATAAAGTGTGATTCTCGTTTGTAAACTATGCCAGTAACCTGGATCCATGTGTGTGCTGACAGCCTCATTTATGAACCTATAAAACAGAGAGCTAGACATATTAGAGAGTTCCCCAAGGTGATAAGCATTCTTTGGAGGCACGTCTGAGTTGCCAACTAAAGTTCCTTTAAGAAAATGTTATTTATATGTCTACTCATGCACATTATTATTTAGATAGGACTTTCCACTAATTATGTTTTATCACATTAATTACAGTATAGCATTATTTTTTTTTCCTGATGTGCTCATTTGTTTTTAAAATTGTAAGATGTACAGTCAACAGTATAAACTTGACCATTTCAGGTGTAGAGTGGCACTAAGTATGTGCACATTGTTGTGCAGTCGTCGTGGCCCCATCCCTCTCCAGAACACATTCACTGTCCCGAACTGAGATTCTGTCCCCATTAAACACTAACTCCCTGTTCCCCACCCCCCCAGCAGCTACCACCCTACTTCTTATCTTCCTGAATTTGCCTACACTAGGTACCTCATGCTAGTGGAATCATACAACATCTGTCCTTCTGTGACTAGCCTGTTTCACCTTGCATGATGTCTTCAAGGTTCCTCATGTGAGCCTCGTCAGAATTTCCATCCTTTCTAAGGCTGAATTGTATGCATCTGAATTGTGTGCACATTTTGTTTATCTCTTAGACACTTGGGTTGTTTCTACCTACCTTTTGGCTGTTGTGAATGAAGCTGCTGTGAACATGGTTGTACTATTAGCCATTCAAATCTCTGCTTTCACTTTTGGGTACATACCCAGAGGTAGAATTGCTGAATCATATGGGAATTCAGTGTTTAATTTTTTTGAGGAACTGCCATACCATTTTCCACAACAGCTGTACCATTTTACATTTCCATCAGCAATGCATTCTTTTACTTGATAAATAAATAGGAATATGCCTTGCTTGTATAGTTGGCTGATTTTTTTTTTTTGGATACTTGCTCTGTAGTTTCTGCTAAAACCTTTCATTGTTTTCTGTTTTTCCAGGCTGCAGTGCAAAAAGCGATTCCTATGTACAAAATTGCCACCAAAAAAGATGTTGATGTCCAAATTGATCAGGAGGCCTACCTGCCTGAGGAAATGTAAGGAGTATTCCTCCTCTTAACATCTAAGCTGCTTTCACTACGAGAATGGCCTTCATGCTGGGTCTTGTTGAGTTTTCTCTGAAGCACTCTTCCCCAGAAGAACAGTGGTGTGGCTTTGTGCCACCTGTGACTCTGGCTTTGTCCCCTCTCAGTACTGTGCTATTCTCTCTTGTTAACCAACCAGACACGCCCTAAAAGGAGCTGGCTTCCTGTGGTCGCTTAGTTTATTCTGCAGAGAGGCAGCACTAATTCTTTACCCAGAACTCAAAGCTGGGTCCAGATCTCTGTGTTAGATGCTGGGGAAGATAATTGCTACCTCTAAGTTTCTATGAAATAAGACACGTCATCACGTATGATAGTAACTACTATAGAAACGAATAGAACCTAATAGGTTCCGTAGATACAGAATTGCAAATACCAGTGGTGCTTGTGCTGTGAGGAAATGACAGGCCATTTCTTCAGCATCCCTGATAAGCTTGGTGCTGCCAGGCTAGGCAATAGGAACTCCTGATGAGGTCAGAGCCAAGGTCATTTTCTTGATTGTGCCTGTGTTAGATGCCACGTAGGCACACGTTAACTAACATTGCAGAAAGTCCTTCGGACGCACGGACCTAGTTGAAAGAGCACCAGACCTGGGTTTGAGTCCTGAGTTGGCCTTTTGTGAGCTATGGGACCTGGAGACTGAATTCCATCATTTTGTAAAATGGAATTGATGCTTTTTGCTTTTTTGTTTCATGAAGTGAGGAAAAGAGAGGATATCGTACATGTGAAAATGCTTTATAAACTCAGAAGGTGTATAAGCTAGTGCAAAAAGCTTCAGTATTATCATCAGATTTAGGTTTGATTCTCCACTCTGCCACATACTTACTGGGTAGTCTTGGACCAGTTATTTAATCTCATGGAGCCTGGATTTCCTCATCTCTAAATTGGGATAATAGCACCTACCTCACAGAGTTCTTGGAAGCTTAAATGAGATAATGTCTATACAGCACTTAACACAGTGCCTGGTACCCACCGTATACGTGGTTATTGAGCGGTCAGATACTCATTGTAGTAGAGATCGAGCAGATAGGACAGAAAACACTTAGTTCAGGGTCTGTCTCGTAAAGAGTGGGTTTCAGTCCTGAAACCTTTGGGGCCAGATGTTTTGAATACCAGCGTTTAGAAAAGCAAGCAAGAACGTATACCACTTGTGACATAATACCCCAGCCGGGTCTGAGGCGTCAAACCCCCCCCCCCCCCGGTTGATCAAAAATACTAATATTTCTGAATGGGCACACTCACACTGCAAGGGATAAATACATAAAGATTCGCTAGTCATTTGCTGCCAGATGACTAGAGGTCAGTTTAGCTTTTGGAGACACACAGATTAGACTTCTGTTCTGATAGCTTATTGAATTTCAGAATTGTAGATAAGGAACGGTGGACTGATTCCAGTGCTAATTTAAAGTAGAATTTTAAATATTGTTCTTTTGTTCAATCAGGTCATTTTATTCAATCTTTTTAGACCTTTTTTCTTGTTTGTAAAGTGGCGAGGATACCAACAGAGACTCATAGGTTACTGGGAAGATAGAAGTCATGGGCAGCCCTGGGCTTTACACTCAGTGAGTGCCTGGCCCTCAGTCAACATTCTCACACAGTGGTGGTCTTCCTGCCCTTACTCCCTCCATGAGAAAAACTGTGTCACAGACAGTGGGGTCAGGATTTCAGCAGAGCCAGCCACGTCCTTATGAAGGATATAGTCTGTTTAGAGAAACCAAAGAAATGCCAGAGGGAGGGAGGATAGAGTAAGAAAACGTCATTGTCCATTAAAGTTTTCCAAAGACAATTTGCAAAACCTTTTCCCAGCCTTTGTCACATAGCCTGCTTATTTCAAGAAATACTTGGGGACGCCTGGGTGGCTCAGTCAGTTGAGCCTTCCGCTCAGGTCATGATCCCAGGGTCCTGGGATCGAGTCCCACATCAGGCTCCTTGCTCAGCAGGGAACCGGCTTCTCCCTTTGCCTGCAGCTCCCTCTGCTTATGCTTGCTCTCTTTCTCTCTCTGGCAAATAAGTAAATCTTTATTAAAAAAAACAAGAACAAAAACAAAAAAACACCAGTGTCTTTTCTAAAAAAAAAAAAGAAAAAAGAAAAATATTTGATAAAATTCTAATGTACAAAGAATTTAATTCCTGGAGGCTCCTTGTAATAGAATTTGACTTATCTGCCTTAAGCCTCTAAGTGCTAGAAACTTTGGGGAAAGGAACAACAGAAGTGAGCTGTGGCTAGAGGCAGGACTTTGTAAGGGCCGGTCTGGCACAAGATTACAGTGGTACCTTTAACCTGATACACAATACAGTTTTGCATATGGCCTTATCAGTACCCCCCGGTTATTTGCAGGATTGGGCCTTTAAGAAATATTCAGATGAGGACTTGATTGATGACAAACTGGGGCTAAATCCTCCCCCTTTTCATTTTGTTGGGGAGGGCTGATTAGAATTAAATTAGGTGCTGTAACATAAAACCAGATTGGCAGGTAGCAGTCACTTGGTAAATGACAGTTATTATCAACAACCATAGCTTAAGTCCTCAGAAGCTTTCTGAATTAATTTTAAGCTCTTTGCATGTGTTTATTGGCCCCTTACATAGACACTCCACACACCAAAACAGCTTTCTTCTCAGGAAAGAAAGTAAATGTACCATGGGTCTGTCTGCCTCAAATCTATAAAAATTGTTATTTCCTGTGTTCTTTGTAGAGCTGGTGGAGTTGAGATCTATAATGGGGATCGTAAAATAAAAGTTTCCAATACCCTAGAAAGCCGGCTGGATCTCATAGCCCAGCAGGTGAGTGTGGGAATAGGTCTTATTACTTGGTCTGTTGTTACTTTGAAGTGGCGCAGAGAACATATGTTCATTCACTGGTATTTGGGGTTTGTCACTCTTCCTACATTTTGTGGCATTTTCTTGAAAGGAATGTGCAGTAGGCATGCAGCATTTACTGAGGGGACACCATTTACATGAGAGGGAATTTGGGGTCGAATGAGGGTTTTGTTGATTTAGGATTCTGATGTATACATGTTACTACATGTAGAGATGCTGCCCAGAGTTCCTTCTCTAGTAAGAATGATGGGAACTAGGGCGCCTGGGTGGCTCAGTTGGTTAAGCGACTGCCTTCGGCTCGGGTCATGATCCTGGAGTCCTGGGATCGAGTCCCGCATCGGGCTCCCTGCTCGGCGGGGAGTCTGCTTCTCCCTCTGACCCTCCTCCCTCTCATGCTCTCT